AGCATGCTTTGAGTTGCTGTTGGTTCAACTGCAACTGGTTTAAATGAGTTCAGTTTAAGCCAAGTGTAAGTATTTGAAGAGAAACCCTGGGTTATGTCGGGCTGCTAACTGCAAGGTCAGCAGTTTGAAACCCCCAGCTGCACCATGGGAGAAAGATAAAGCTTTCTACTCCTGTAAATAATTACAGTCTCAGGAACCCACAGGGTCCATCCTTCAGGGTTGCTATGCATCATAGCCCATTCCACAGCAATGAGCCTGGAGCTTTGGGAAGCCTTTGAAGGGGCTCAACGCAAGCCTTTCACTGTGGCTCCTCGCTCGGAGACACAAGGCAGTTACTATAAGGCTTACGGAAAATGTAGTTAAATGAGCTGCAAATGGCTAAGTAAGGACATGCCAATTTTTTTAATAAGAAAACATTCATTTGTGTTAAGCCCTATAATAATGACAAAATGATGCAAGAATTGTTACAAAAACAGTAAGCACCATTTTCTAAAATCCATCAATATTTGTTTACAGTAACAATCAGCAATTAAACAAAATGGTAATCTACTAAATTATCTCTAAAACTTTATTTCTTGAGGTTAAGGAAAACTAAGGAAGCATACCCTAACCAACCTCACTAAAATGGGCAGGTAAAGTGAGGCTCAAACACACTTCTGAGAAAAGCAGTAAGAAGGTATAGTTTATTATTGCAATGTAAGGGTGAAAGATCTTAACAGAAATTCTGTAAATATGATAATTTCAACATTATGATAGGAGTAACTTAGACCAACAGCATGGAGAATGAGGAGAAATTAAAAAAAAAAAAAACTGGCCTGAATCTAGGTTTCTTTGTAAGTGACCCATTTGAGTAGGTTGGTGGACACTCCTCCCCCTATGACTCTGCTTTCACTACCACAAAAAATCAACCAAAGTGCAGAAAAACGAAACATTTGCACTATTAGTAGAAAATCTGAAATCTGATAAGAGCATCAAGTAAGATTCAAGACTCAATAAATTATTTTATCCTTCGAAGATACTTTAATTTTGCATTTATTGATTAATTAAAAAACACAGCTTTTTTCAGCATTTCCTAGCTATAGTAGTGGGCATAGGAAATGTCATTCTGAACAAGAAATAATTAATGAAATAACAACACACCTTAACATTTTACATTGATAGGCTACAGTTCACAAGGTGCTTTCACATACATTATTTCATTTGATTCTTACAAGCAGAAAAAAGGGGGGAAACCGACAGTGGAAAGAAAAATGATTTTTTGTCAGGCTTACAATGAGCGTTTTCTCAGGCCAATGGGCAGTCAATACAAGAACATACCAAAAACAAGACAGCAGTACCCACAAGCCACAGTTATCTTTTGGTAGGTTGACAATTTGATATCCATTGGGTATTTAGCATCAGTGAATATGGTAAGAACTGGAGCAGACACTAAGTTCTCATGATATTCAAAGACTTGTAAGAACACGGTCAGAGATACAGAGAAGATGCCCTAAGATATTGCCTCACCGTGACTTACTTCAAGCATACTACTCCTTCAAAACATCAAATGAAAAATAATCTTGTCAGAGCATGTGAAAGCTAGAAGGGACCTTACAAACTGCCCAATCCAACCCTTCCCTTTGACACAAGTGCCCTGCAGTCAAGATCACACTCAGTGACACCTGACGTGACACTCGAATGTCTCGGCCTGGAGTCTGGGGCTCCTTCCTCTGTCTGCACTGACTGCATAACGAATGCAAGTTCTTCTGCTTTTGATCATGAATTTGGAGTTAAATACTGATTCGTGGTGCATTTTTTATTCAAGCTTTTATCAACATTCTTGGCTAAATTGTGGCTGAAATTAGAAATTTTATTTACTTAAATAAATTAATTTTGTGTACTTTATAGGTTGGAAAGACTCCCTTGACATAATTGAAAGCTTATTCATATCCTGCAACAAAGAGTAAAATGGAATGACCGAATCGCCCTCAAAACCTGTGGCTGCGTAGGGGTCAAATCTCATAGCAGGACATCTGGGGTTGAATTACCTAACATAGATTCTACAGCAAGTTGTGCTGGACACTAGTAATTTTGTAGAAAAAAATATTTTTAGAATTCATAGAAATCTTTTCAATTACTGAAAACTAAAATGTAATAATCAAATTGTCATCCTCATGATTTATTAAAATAATTTTACAGTAATATACAACCAAGCTACCATAGAATTTATAGCATAGATAGGATACAACGATCAGCATGTTCTTGAGTCTACACGTAATACAAAAAATTAATTAAAATATTTTATACAAATGACATTTTAAATTTATTAACATGATGATATATATATATATTATAGCTTTGTTGCTTGCTACAGCAAAGAGTTTGTTTTTCTTGAACATTGTAAATACAGGTGGACAAAATGCAATTAGCATCAGTCTGTATAGGACATGACTGGATAGAAACACTTCATAACCAAAAGAAAGACAGGTTGGTAGGGAGAACATCTCAGTCAGGCCTTTTCCTTGTCTTCAAAGGTTTTACAAAGATGATATGAAGTGTCAGTGACCTACTACACTGACAGTGAAGCAAACAGAATAGTTATATATATGATCACTTTGATTAAAAACAATTTTTATGCACGTAAATTGATCATTTAAAATAAGCATTTCAAACTATTTTGGTGTGCTGTTTTAAGATAGGTCATTGAGACACAGAGATAAAATGAGATAAGAAAAATTAAAAGTAAAGAAAGCAAAAAAAAAAGTAAGAAAAATGAGTTAAACCATGGATTCTCCACAAACACTGAACTAACTGTGCAAAAATGCTTGAAATTTCCATAAGACAGCAATGTTATTTGAGTCAGTTGGCAAAAGTATTAAAAAACCAAGCAAACAAAAAAGATCAAATACTAAATTATACCTGCAGGAACATACATTCTGTTTACTGAAAGTAAAGAAATGAGACATAATGACATATCTAAACATATCACACCTCAACAGGGAAATACAGCTGTGGCAGCTTTATCAGCGTTACCCCCTTTCTTCACGGACTGGCCTGGGAGAGAGGAGACGCTGCCCAGCACTCCCACAGTAGGCTGAACACAGTGCTCCAGACAGCCTCTCTTGTTCTTCAGTGCTCCACAACAAAGCAAAACGAAACAATAAAAAACACTGGAAAGAGGGCCTTAATATTTGTTTGCAATAATCAAATCAATTGTTGGCATAGCAAAGTTTCTCAAAACTAATATTCTTTCTACCTTTTATTTTTCTTTACAACGTTTACAATGAGACTATCTTAGAAACTTCATCACTTTCATTCGTGATATCCCTTCTAAAATACTGGCTAAAACTCAACTCTTACGGAGAAGTTCAGGTAGGTTTAGAAACCTTAGAACTCTTCTCTAATACCTACAGAAATGCTGGGACCAGGAGAGGCACTCTGGGGGATGATCCATCATTGGTTTTTCCTGCTGAAAGAGACACGTGTGTCACATCACACAGGCTGGCCACTTAATTACTGCAAGGAGGATGACAGGAAAGGAGGTGACGGCAAAGAGAATTTAGCGTCTATAGGAATCCAAACGACTGCATCTAGCTATTCTACTAGTCTATACATTCCCCCCAAAATAATGAGTTCTAAGGAAGTTATTGGTTTAAATTAATTTGTATAAATTTCCTTTGTGATAAAATTATATCCTTAAAGAAAACTACCATTAGTTTTGGCAGAACGTAGTCAGAACTATTCAGAGTAAAAATAATCTTAAGAACTGACTGCCTCAACTCACTGACCAACAAAAACATTGGCAAGTACTACTAAAAGAAACACATTGATCCCTTCAAATATCATGTAGCCGCAACACTGCCCATTTGAGACACACACTAAAATGGAGCACTGATTGGAAAGAAAAAAAATATATATCAACTAAGGCAAAGGGAAGAAATGTGTGCGACAGGACTGGAGAAGACCAGAGAGAAGTCGATAGTGGTCTAGCACTGGGCTACAACACAGACAATGCTTGCTTAGCGGTGCCTTGTTACAGAGGTGGATGCAGAGCGCACACACAGATGATGGCAATAAAGATCTCGCTCAATCGTTCAGATGAAGGTACTAGATAACTGCTTCAACACAGGACGGTCTCAGCTCCACCTTATTTCTCAACAGAGTGCAAAGATTGAGGGTGAGCATTCATGTCATCTCGCTGCTTATTTTTAAAATTCACCAAATTCTTTTCCACATTTTTCTGTTATAGAGACACGAATATCTTCTTCTTCATAGTCATCAAAGTTGCTGGTATCTCCAGAACCTCTGAACTTTGGTATGAATGGAGCTTCAACCTATCATTGGTATAAAGAAAAATAAGAAACAAGAAAAATGAATGTTTGGGAGTTTACAAAGCTAAGAAAAATAAAATTTCCATTATGATCTCACACCAGCATTTTAATTATGTCATAAAGTCCTCATCAGATAATTGCATTAGAAGAAGCAACAGTAAATTTGCTATTCAACTCAGCATTTTCATTCAAGGAAGAGAACAAGTAATAATCATTTGGTGAATGATTGTGATGGAATTGCTAAAAAAAAATAAGTGTACTGGTTTCAGGTCATCCGTCCTGACCTTCTATAAGACTTGTTAACTAAAGTACCCTATTTAATTACTTATGTTCAAATGAGCTTTGAAATGGATGAAGGCCTCAGTAATCCAACAAACATCTAGTAGGCATGCCAACAACCATCAGGCTCCTGTTGGATGCTCACAAGGAAGCATTTTACAGCAATATGCTGAGTAGAAAAGTAATAAGGAAAAACACCCTGGCCCCGAAGGAGGATTCAGAGAAAATATACTAGTGGTAACCCATAATCTGGTGTCTAGAGAACACCTTTACAAGTAAGGAAAACTTTCACAAAGGTAATGAATATTCCCAAATTTTGGAAACATTGAGTACAAGCCACAGAGTCAAGATAAAAAATTGCAAGACATCTGTTGAATCTAGGAATTAAATGATGTTAAGTCTGCCTGTGTGTAAGTTCTTGCAAATATATGTAAACAAAAAATGTTTGCTTACATATGTGTAATGTGGCTTTGTGTCAGTTTTGAAACTTTAGCCCTTAAAATATTGTTTAATGCTATATAATTGTCACGATAATTATAAGGTAAGAGATTTGAATAGGAGAAATTTAACAAGGAAAACATTTCAGATAAATGGTCAGAATAAAATATATGCTGCTGCTTTTATTGTGGAGAAAATTATGGGCTATACGTTATTTTATGTTTGGTACCAAATTAATTAAAGTTTAAAAAAATTAAAACTACATTAAGTTGAAACTATTGCTACTACATATAATTTAAATACCAATCTTTCAAAAGCTTTTAATTGAAAAAGCAAAAAAAAACCCAAAAAAAACTCCAACACACACAAAGACCTAGCTTCCTCTGGTAAATAGCAATCCAATCTGTCGTTGCGAACCACTTGTGAGTTTTTATGTCACTCACACCATTCTTTAGATTCCCAAACCGCTTTGTCAAATCTACCTGGAGCAGGTTCCTTAGAAGGTCTTTGAGATCTGAACTGAAGTGAGACGGGAACCGGACCTGCAAAAACACAAAGGCACCATGCAGTAAGCACACACTCCAAGACCTATCAGGTGATATTTGTTTTCATTTTCGAAAAGACTTTTTTATTTTGTTTTTAAAGTAAATGGATCATTACATAAAAACCTGTAGTGATGACTTTCGAATACTACTAACTACATGCTGCAGTCCCCATAGTAATCTGGGAGAAGAAAATTATTTGAGAATGATCTAATACTGTTTTCTAAGAGTTTTGTTTTGGCCATATACCCTTTTTAAGAACTTGGGTTCTCCCCAGACCCTGCCCGAAAAGTGTGCATACAAATACAACTTTTCCACTAATGTCAGGAGGGTCCACATTACAAGCTTCCAGTTTAGAGTTAACTAAGTCAACTGATCATTTTAAATAAAACTAACACCATCTGAAGGACATCAGTATGAACGTTTTTAAGTCATTTATCAAGAAGTAAGACTAAAAGGATGGTTAAACCCAGTACTTTGCACAGCACTGGGAGTGTTTTGCCTTTACCAGTTGACTACTTCTCCAGGACTACTTCTCTCTCTCCAGAAATCCTGTAAACGTAAACACAATTATGCTATTACGTCATAATCTACACACTACTAAAATGGTTTAAATGAAGAAGTTGTGAGTCACAGGGCTGATATGAGTTGGAATCCACATGACAGCAATGAGGTTGCTTTTGTTTTTGGTTTAAATTATGACGACTTAATAATTTGTTGGCTGGTCGCCTGCCTTAAAAAAATACAACCAAAAAAACAACACTTATCACTAAAGGTGTTTATGTTAGGCAATTGATAAAATTAAAGCACCCTTCATAAAAGACCCAGGTCACTTTTGTTTGTTTTTAATCTTGCTTTATTTTGTTGAAAACACATGCTTTATCTGCTCAAACCTGTCAGTTCCTACCCTGGTATTGTGAATAAGTTCTGTAGAACTGGGTGTTCCGAAGGGACTCGTCACGAAGGAAAAGATGCAGCTACGTGTCTCAGACTCTCCTTACTCCCACCTTCCGGAAAGCCTTTCAAAGTAAGCTGAACCCTCTTCCATTTTACAGGTGCAACAAGGTAAACAAAAATTGAGTAGCTTGCCCTAATAAATGGCAGACACTAGGATTCCAAAGCAGATATTCTAACAGGAATGTCTCTTTTATATTATTCTATACTTCTTTCATGATTAGGTATCCTGAATATAGTTATTATCAGGGGACTTCTAAAATTTAAAGTTTCGTGTAAAAATATTTTGCTGCACATTCCTCATTGATATTTGTTTGGGAAATATACTAGAAAATAACAGGTATTCAACAGATATGTTGTCACCTTTAAAAATACTGACATTTTTCCAGGATATATTCTAAACTTGTTTAGATTCCAAAGAAATAACCAATTCAGAATCCATCCATCTTTGTTAGAACAGAGAGCACTGAACTAGTCAATGCAGTGTGCTGGTTATTCTCTTATGATGTCTAGAGTAGTGGAAAGCAATCATCGTCTGAGCTTAAGTGATGTGCAATACAGTCCAGGCAGAATATGAGTGCCTAAATAAAATAACCTAAGTCCAGGCAGAATATGAGCACCTAAATAAAATAATTATTTTGTAATGCAAATAAAGTGATGGTCTCAATCACTGTGTATATGTATGCTTAACCTTTGGAACAGGGATTTTCAAAAAGAGAGTGGTAGGGCTGTGCTAGAGATATCAGAATCATTTGCAAATTACTCCAATTGTCGAGCTCTCCTCCTCATCTTCATATCACATGCTCTCCTTCCCATAGACACTGATAGGAAGGCCACACTTTCATCACGAGCCATGTTAATGATGAGAATCTATCATTCAAGTACATAGGGGGAGTTAAAATCAGAATCACCACAGAAGTATTTTTTCAAAAGCTGCTTTGAAATATAATCTGAAATGTAGTTGCTTGATTGATAGAAGTTTCTGAAGAACTGTTGATTTAGCAGTACCAGGGTTCAAAACAAAACCAGAAAATAATTTAAATAAAATGTTTTAAAGATAAGACAATTATTTATATCAACCTGGAAACACCAAAGATTTCTATAAAGGAAAGAGAAATTATAGTTATCCTTCAAAACTGCATCAAGAAAGGTATTTTTCTATCATTATTAGCAATTATAACTGCTATAATAAATGAAAAGGAGCCCTGGTGGCCCAGTGGTTTGGGGCTGCTACCCGAAAGGCGAGCAGCTCAAACGCGTCAGTTGATCCGCAGGAGAAAGACAAGGTTTTCTACTCCCATAAAGAGTTAGTCTCAGAAACCCACACCGGCAGTTCTACCTTGGCCTATTTAGCTGTTACGCGTCGGAATCGACTTGATGGCAGTGCGGGTAGGAACTGAAACCAGAAGCCTAGAATATTGGAACCAGGAGTCTACAGTTTGATTTAGTCCAAACCTTCAATTTAAACTAAGGAACCTTCGTTTCAGTGAGGCTATCGTTCAGTCACAGATATCTTTGGGACAATAACTTAAGCCTTCTGACGTCTACACATATGTACTTTCTGTCAGTCTGTGGCAGGGCAAAGAAGTGCAAGTAGTTGTAATGCCAAATATAGAAACAATAAGGAGTCTAAGTCTAATTAGGCTCGAGCGATTAGGAATCATGTAAAGGGTGATTATGTAGTACACACTTTCTAGAGTATTTATTTTTGGTGGGTGCAGTGCGGTGGGGTGGGGAGGGTTGGCTCTTTTCCTTAGTATGTTTTCCAGTTAGGATTCTTTTATTGTTTCCGTTACCAAGTTACTTCTGAGTTTCCTAATGATATAGTGTTGAAATTCTGATTGTGAATAATCTATTTCTACAGTATTTAGGATACATAGGAATAGTATATCCTATCGCAACCCATATTTGTACCAGAAACATGTGGGGTTATTTAAAATAGACTGTGATGGATTAAAAGTGTAGACTGTGATACAATTTAAAGTATAAACTGTGACGGAGGAAACTATGGGAGGTAGAGATTTACTAGGAAGAGTACCGATCAGGAGCTTAAACTTCACACAGGTTGAATTTGAAGTATTAAACATCCACATGGAGTTTAGAAGTAAGACATGATTCTGGAAATCAAGAGACAAAAAATAGTTAATTTCAAGCCATGGGAGAGTGAAGGATGAAGGATGAGGCCATAGGAGGAGGGCAGAGAAGTGAGAGAAAAGGACCAAGTCAAGGAGTTTAAGAAGGTAAAACCAGTAAAGCAAGAATGTGAGGAGTCAAGCCAAGTGAAGGGTCAAAGAATTAATCATCAGACTAGATTCTAGTCCTTGCTTTGCCACAAACTAACTTTGGTCGTTGGCCAAATGAAGGGCTTGATTGGCCAACATATGAAAAATAGTGCAACATCTTGCATCTCAAAAATTCTACCAAGCTATTTCCTTAGTAAAAACAATATTTGGATTCCAATACCAAATCGCTATATCCACACTCTATACACTACCAACAACACATTTACCTTTCTCAGTTTAATTTTTCTGTTATAAAATGTTGGCAGGCATTAAAATGGAGTTAGGTAACATGAAATTGCCTCATACCATGTCGTGTATCTTGTGGGTACTAACACAGCTTATTTTAAAATTTTTTCACTTTTCCATTAAAATAATATTTTAATAATCTGAACCTGAATCTTGGACTCAAAGGAGAAACCTGAGAGACAGTGATATCTATTCTTGATGTTTCCAGCATACCTAAGGACAATCTGAGCTAGAAAAGTCATTTGGAAAGTGAGAGTTCCTCCTTCCTTCTTTCTTTCTTTTTAAATTAACCATTTTTTTGGGAGATTCTTATAACAATACATCATTCAACTGTATTAAGCACACCCGTACATATGTTGCCATCAACATTTCCTAAACATTTTCTTTCTACTGGGGTCCTTGATAGCAGCTCCTCTTTTCCCCCTCCCTCCTTTTTGTTTCATGTTCAAGTTGGAAATTAAAGGAATAAATTCTTCCTAAGGTAGTCGGATAACTATCACTCTGTTTTATAATCTACCTGACAAATATGGCTAGACCAGAGGGTGTACACTGGTAGAGATAGGAACTGGAAACACAGGGAATCCAGGGTGAATGATCCCTTCAGGACCAGTGGTGAGAATGGCGATACTGGGAGGGTGGAAGGGAAAGGGGGAACCGATTACAAGTATCTACATGTGACCTCCTCCCTGGAAGATGGACAACAGAAAAGTGGGTGAAGGGAGACGTTGGACAGTGCAAGATATGACAAAATAATAATTTATAAATTATCAAGGGTTCATGAGGGAGGGGGTAGTGGGGATGGAAGGGGCAAAACGAGGAGCTGATGCCAGAGGCTTAAGTGGAGAGCAAATGTTTTGAGAATGATGAAGGCAGTGAATGTACAAATGTGCTTTACACAATTAATGTATGAGTTGTATGAGCCCCTAATAAAATGATTTAAAAAAAAAGAATATCATTCTGAATATAGCTGTTACCTGAAACTTATAAAAGCTATAAAATTAATGTTATTTGCCATAACCATTTTATAGTAGAGAACAGTATAAATCATCCCCTGAGGCATAAGGTAAGCCTATTGATGGTGTTATTAATTTAGCCAGTGATAAAGAATTTAAAATACTTTTGAGAAAATGAAATCATGTATGTATAGGCTGGCTTCAGACCATAATAAATGAATTGTTGACTTGTAGAGATTAAGCTCTTAAGTGACTGGAAGCTACTTATACAAGCAATGGAGGTGGGTGATAGAGTAAAACTTTCAATAACATTCATTCAAAATCAACTACAAAATGACTTGGAATTGAACAAATTCATTCAAATATTGTGTTTTCAACAGCAGACTACGAAGTCTCACATACTTTGGTTTTAAGAATGACTATTATTTTCTAAAAATTTAAAAGGAAGTTATAACCAACCAACAATTTAATACATGTTGTCAGGGTCTCTGTACTTGCTGATATAAATGAACTAGCTTATTTTTTGATATATCTTTCCTTTGGTAGGCTAATTATAGACATTACA